GCCAGCAGCAGCCTCGCCGCGGGCTGCTGCAGTGCACAATGAAGACGCTTCCCCCTCCGTGTTTTGCAGACCTGTGCTGTGGACATCTTCTCAGCTGGCTGCATCTTCTACTACGTGGTGTCAGGAGGGCAGCACCCATTTGGGGACAGCCTGAGGCGACAGGCCAACATCTTGTCGGGCTCCTACCAGCTGAGCTGCCTGCAGGAGGAAGTTCACGGTGAGACCCTTCCCTTCAGCTACATCCCACGGGAAATCCTGAGCCAAATGGTGGAAGAGCCTCAGGTGCTGTGTGCACCTCCTTCTTGGAGGTGTTAGATCTCCATTTTGTTTCACCTACCAGACAAGCTTGTTGCACGAGACCTGATTGTGTCAATGATCAGCCCTGAGCCCCAGCACCGCCCCTCAGCCTCCATGGTCCTCATGCATCCCTTTTTCTGGAGTCAGGAGAAACAGCTGCAGTTCTTCCAGGTGAGCACACACCATCCCACCGGGCAGGAAATATAAGTGTGTTCTGAAAAACAAATGCTGGAAACCGTTGTGTTTGGGTTAGTGTGATCACTTTGAGCTACTTTTGCAAGGGGTTGGGGTTCCCTGAGTTTAGGGCTAGGGGCAAGGCCTCTTGGCCCCTCTCAGCGCTGGCTCTGTGCCCTGGTACAGGGTGGGGACCAGCACCATAACCACCCCAGCCTCTGCTCTTGGTCATGCAGGACGTCAGTGACCGCATCGAGAAGGAGCCCGCCGAGGGGCCTGTCATCTCAGCCCTGGAGGCAGGGGCCCGCTCGGTGGTGAGGACTAACTGGAGGATGCACATCTCCCTCCCACTGCAGACAGGTGAGCACGGGGCTGGGCTCGCTGCCCCTCACACAGAATTGGGTGGAGAACGGGGATCCTGGGTCTGATGCCCACTACTGGGAACACCAGGTCAGCGAACGTGCCAGCCCTTCCTTGGGAGGGCAGAGCAGTGCCCTGGTTTGCCCCCAGCTGTGGTGCTCACCCGGCGCTGCTGGGGTGTGGGGGCCCCTGACCCCAGACACATCCCTCCTCACTCAGCATCTCTCCTGCTCTCCCCAGACCTGAGGAAGTTCCGCACCTACAAGGGGGCCTCAGTGCGTGACCTGCTGCGGGCCATGAGGAACAAGGTAGGGCTGCCCCATGTGCCCCCGTGCCCCCCGCCCAGGCCCCCGCTCACCTGCTCCTCTCTCCCACAGAAGCATCACTACCACGAGCTGCCGGCCGACGTGCGGGCGGCCCTGGGCTCTGTCCCCGAAGGCTTCGTGCAGTACTTCACCTCCCGCTTCCCCCAGCTGCTGCTGCACACCCACTGCGCCATGAGGGTCTGCGCCCGCGAGCGGCTCTTCCACTCCTACTACTGCCAGGGGCTGGGGGATGAGGGCCAGTGAGCAGGGGCACACGATGAGATGGCACCCGTTGTGCCAGGCTGCTCCTCCCCACCTGCAGCAGCTGGGAGCAGCCCCAGGGGTCTCCGTGTCCTTCTCCCACTCCCCAGGGTGAGGTGGGGCTCCAGCACCGCTGGTCGCCCAGCGTACGTGTGGGTTACAAGCAGGATAGTCCAGACCTGAGGGGCTGGTGGTGACACCAGGCCATCATCTGGGGTCTCCAGCACACAAGAGGGACCTGATGGGCACCTGCAAATGCTCATGGTTGGACTTGGTGCCTGAAGGCATTTGTGTTAGAGACCAAAAAAATCTCTTTGGTGGCAATGATGCCTCAATAAGAGAGAGGAAAAGGTGTGTGAGGTTTCCCTGAGGGCACCTGGGGAGCGATGCCCTTGTCAGAGTAACACAGCCAGGCTGTGTCTGGTCCCAGAGGGATAGCTGAGCTTCTTCCTCTGCATCTTCCCATGCCATATGCCTGGGAAAGTGGCTTTTTGAGTGTGACGATGACAGGACTGATCCACCAGCCTTGCTGCTGGAGATGACCCTTCAGCCCAGCTGAGGGCTGGGGGTCAGCAGCTCCCCTTCCAGCAGCCCCCAGGGCTCAGCCCTGCTATTTGCATCAGGGCTACTGAGGGCGAGGTGCCACCAGCCCTGGAGGTAGGCACAGGGGCCTCTGGTACTATCCCAAGAAGGAAGCTATTTTATTTCAGCTGGGAAGATTTTCTGTCTTTTGCTCCCCAGCAGCTGGTCAGTTCCAGGGCAGAGCCCCGTGTCAGTCCTGGGCCCAGGAGCCTGAGCCATTTCCCCACAGCACAGCTGGGCCAGAGCAGTGCTGGGGACACAGCATCCTGAGGTGTGGGGTTTGTGGGGTCATTGTTGGTTTGTTGGGGTTTTGTTTTGTTTTTTACACAGGTAAAAAGTTTTTTTTTTTTACCTGGCTTGTTTCCAGAATGCTGTAGAACATTTTATACAAAATGCTATAGAGAAAAATAAAAACGAAAAACTTGTCCTGCTTAAAAATAAACCAGCCTGAGCTGGCAGTGAGCAGTCGTGGGAGAACACCCAGCATAGCTTTCAGGGTCTACTACAGCCAGCTTCTGCTAATTCTGTACTCACATTTGTGAGCATCTTCCAGGTAGCAAGTAGAGCCAGTCCAAAGGAAGGGGAAGGCTGGTAGCCTGCAGGTCAGAGCACAGCTCTTGCACCACCCCAAGGGCTCCTTTCCTGCAGCACACATCAGCACAAACAGCAGTAACAACTCCAGGCCCCTCTCTGCTCACAAGCATCTGTCCAGACAACTTCACCCCTTCCCCATTTCCTACCACAATCTGCTGCCATTTCCCCATTGCTTAGTGGTCAAGAGCTGGAGCTGAGGAGCAGGTGAGGGCTCAGCTCAGCCAGGGGCAGGACAGCTCTCACATGGAGGGGCAGCCAGGGGGAAGGTGCTGCTTCCTCCCTCCCAGCAAACCAAGGGGAAGCAGGACAGGCTGGACACTTTAGTGAACAATCTTTAATCAGGTTATGTAACATACAAAAGTTTAGGCTTTGTGTAGATTAATTTCAGTATTAAAAGGCTGATTGCTCACCCTGGGCATGTTAAATATCTCACCTGAATTTCTACAAGATAAAACAAAAAGCCTAGGGCATCAGCACAGCCATGTACAAATTATTTACATGATAGTTCTGCTGTCCCCCTGCTTTGTTCTCTCAAGAGAAGGCCCAGGAGCCTCAAACAAGGAGGCTGTTTTTTGAGTCAGGCTTTTGTCTTTGGGAAGTTAGGAAAAAAAAACAACAAACAACTAGTTATACAATTAAAAAATACTTTCTATTAGGAATGGGGAGCAAGAAACCTTTGGGTATCAGTCAGAGTGAACAAGGCCATTCCCACAGCAGCAGGGGCTTCCCTGTGGCCAATAGCCCAGGAGCGGGAGCCCAGCGCTGGCCGGAGGTCACAGTGTGAGCAGGGCTGCTCCGAGGCCCCCGGCGGGGGCAGTTTGGCACAGATGTGGAGTCCGTGGAGAACAAGGCCTAAGCAGAGTTTTTCGCACGGGCTGAGCTGGACTTTGAGCTGAGGAGCTTCTCCACCATGGTGCGAGCGTAGCGGAGCCGGCTGGCCAGCTCCTTGCAGCAGCCGTGCTCCTCGATGAGGCTCAGCTTGTACGTGCGGAAGTCCCGTTTCTCGTCGATGTACGTGACAGCAGCCATGAGAGGACACAGGATGATCTTGGTGTGGTCCTGCAGGGAGAGAGCACACCACCACCCTGAGCACCCAGCTCCTCGGGGACTGCGTGTTTTCAGGATGAAGCATCCCAGCAGCAGTTGGGGCACCCCAGCTGCACCCAGAAGCAGCATCCCCTCAGACTGCAGCAAAGGGGGACAGATGGATCCAGCCAGCTCAGGACCACAGCAAGGGGAGCAGAGCCAGTGCATGGGTCACTGGGCAGAGCTTCATCTGCGGCCACGCTCCCCCCTGCCCTGCACACAGCACCTGAGGCTCTTCCAGCAGCTGCAGCTGCAGCCCTGGGGAAAACCTCACCTGGAAGAAGTTGATCTGCACGGTGCCATTGCTGAGGTGCAGGATGATGGCGCTGCGGGTCCGGAACCACATGCAGAGGTAGGGCAGACGAGCCAGCTCATCTCCTTCCCGTGGAGTGATGTTGGCACCTGCCTTCAGCAAGTGCTCGCTCATGTAGTTGCGGAAATACTTCAATAGTGTTATCTGCAGAGGGGAAAGGCCATGAGCAGCCAGGCTGAGGGTGACTTCTGCTGTCTGGGGTGGGCAGGGGCTGCTCCCACAGTCCCAGAGCCTCCCTACACCTTCCAGAGCTTGAGGTAGCACTGCACAAACTTGGGCAAGTTCTCAAAGTTAACTCAGTCTGTCATACTTGAGACTCACTTTGCTGAAAACTTTGTTACATGCAACTCTTGTGAGCACTTATTTTTTGTGTAACTGCTCATAAATAAGCCTGAGGTAGCAACTGTGAGTAAAGAGAGCTGCCAGTGCCTGCCTTGGGGCCATGTTTCACCAGCTGAGAGGAACCCTCCAGAGTGCAGTGACCCCAGGTTACGCATGTTTCTGGAACCCACCCCATCAGCAAAGCCCAACAAGGCCAGCAGAAGTCCCACCAGGAGCAGCCAGCCCCAGCAAGCACTCCTGTCCCCAGGACTGACCTTCTTGTTCAAGGCAGAGGGGTAGGACCTGACAGTGAAGTAGGACTCTGTGCTGTTCTGCTCGATGTACTGCAAGCTGTCCCCGTCGTTGTACATGATGAGGCGAGTGGAGTCATTGAAGAGAACCCCAACACTGTTGTCACACAGCTGGTAACCTGGTGCACAAGGAAATACACAGGATCACACCATGTGTGAAACACTTTGGCAGAAGGTTTTCTCACCCCTGACAGCTGCCCCACCAGGTCCCAGCCAGGCCTAAGACTCTCCTGTGTGGAAGTCTGGATGGCACTTCTCTGGATTTCTCATCTTCCCTTGTATCACCTCCTACAGAAGCAACTTTAACTGCCACAGTGGGTACACATGCTCATTGGGAGTGTGGCTGGCCATCCCATGCAACATGTAGCCATTTGCCACCTTAAAGTGGCCAGAGTTGATGTTCAGTCACCACTACTCTGGATTCTCTGTGTATTTGGTAACATTCCTGGCAGCAGCCTTGGACACATGTGCAGGAGAACTGTGATTGAAGACCTATGCAAAGCCCAAATCCAAGCTTCCCCCAAGCCTTGCATAAACTGGAAAAGACTTAAGTGCTGCCCCCATATTATTTACCTAGACCATATTTATCAGAGTAGTCCACCCATTTGCTAACCCAGAAGATGGGGATGCAGGCTGGGTCTTCAGCTTCTTCTGCAAAGAGGAAGGGAGTTTGTTAGAAGACATTTCACAGCACCCTGCGCACCCAGCCAGCAGGCAGTGCAAAAGGGAGGTAAGCAGCTGCTACATCACTGCTCAGCCTTCCTGTTTGAAGCTGAGGTCAGCTGGGCTCGTCAGACAACAGCATCAGAGCGACAAAGCAGGGAGTTACCAGGAAGGCCAGTGCCTGTGGATTGTCCCCAGACTCACCTTGTCTCACTGTCACTCTCTCGGAGGGCTTGGCTGCGTTGACAGCAGCCAGCTGCTGCAGCATGTCATCCAAGTAACAGTCCACAGAATCTCCCACCTCCTGCAGCCTAGCTGCATCTTCCTTCTCAGACAGCTTCTCTACTGCAGGGCTGTCTGGTCCTGGACCAGGAAAGAGAAGAGTGGAGGTGTGAGCAGGGAGCAGGTTTCTAAAGGCATCAGGTTTACATTCTACCCAGCTATAGGAAACGCATCACATCCCATATTGCTAAAGCTAGTCCTGGCACTGCCTCCCTGCTTTGGTTCTGGGCCAAGTGCAAGGAGACCTCCCTCTCACAAAATGCTCCAGGTTTTCATAAGAACTGGGAGGTGAGGGAGTGTCACATTCCCCACCGCTGGCTCTGGAGGTCGCTAGAGGCCAGGCAGGCTCCCATCCAGCACCACAGCCCAGCCTCACCCCCAGACACTGGCTCTTACCTTTGTTGAGGGCAGTCAGTGGCTTCCGCCCATTCAGTTCGAGTCCACTGGGAGCAATGGAGAACCTGGGGGCTACAGTGAGGCAGCTGGTGGGCAGGCGGCTGGGGATGTACCCCGACGTGAAGAACTCGTCGTTCAGCAACTCGTCGATGGTTGGGCGCGTGGCTGGGTCAGACCTCAGCATCTTCTGGATCAGGTTAGCAGCTACAGGGTTGATGTGCTGAGAGGAGGTGGGCAGAGGTTAGACACAAGGGCCAGGGGACGACAGGCACTAGTGGTGAATCCAGTGGTTATAGCGGATATTCAACCAGGGGAAGTTCTGCTTGGAGACCCACCTGCGCTGGGTCAGGAAAGGACACAAGCCTGGGCAAACACAACTGGGCAGGCATGGAGAGCTGTCTCCTGACAGCATGCAAAGCCTAAACTCAACTGACTTGAGCAAGACTGAACCAATAAGCAGTCAGATGAACTGGGGACCTAGCCGTGACCTCACAGACCTGCAGGTGTCCATTTAACCCCACATGCCAACTGCCCAGCTTGGATTTTCATTGGATAACAAAGGGGAAAGCTGCTGGCTCCCCAGAAGGAAGCTGGCCCTGCAGGTTCCCTCCATCACCACCTGAAACGTCCCCTTCCTGGCACTCTGCAGTAAGAGCAGTTTCCTCATCAGACACAGGACAGGGGGGCAGCAGGCTGACCAAGAACTGCAGCCAGGTGAGTGTGTCCACCCACAGGAGGCTCCTCACCTTGGGAATGGTGTACTCGTTCTTCTTGATTCGGATGTACGTCTCTTTTAGACAAGAGGTTTCAAAAGGTGGTTTCCCTACCAGCAGAGTGTACCTGTGTGTTTACAGACAAAAGGGAGTCAGAGGTGATCCCGTGCTGAGCACACCCAGGGCCTTTCCTGGCAGAGGGAGCACACTTAGCATCAGACATGCAGTAGCACACACACACACACGTGTGTCTGAAAAGGGAAGCAGGATTCTAGTACCCTCTGGGGAGCATTCTAATTTGGAAGTGTGGGCTTCTGGGAAATGCCTGGAGACAGCCATGCTGTGCAGCAGATCAGCCCACAGACACACCAGCATGTGCAGAGCCTGCGGGAGGCCACGTGCTGCTGGCAGCAGGGCTTGGCCAGGGCAGCTCCTCTGGAGACAGCACGTCCAGAGCTTCAGCTCACACTGAAATGCCCACAGGCAAACGAGACCTGGACCACCGGGACCACCCAAGCCCCACGTGCAGCCCATGGCCTGGCTGCAGAGACGTTTTGACTCACATGATGCAGCCGATGGACCAGATGTCCACCTCGAAGCTGTGCCCCTTCTTGCCCAGCACCTCTGGGGCAATGTAGTTGGGGGTCCCACACAGGGTCTTCTTGCGCTCGCCATCGTACTCCACCTTGGTGGCCAGGCCAAAGTCACCTGGGAGAGACAGGGTATGACTGGAGATGCCCTAGCTGGCCGGTCCCCAGGGCTGGGGACCCTGCTGGGGGGGGGCGTAG